ACACACACACACCAAAGTCACACCCATTCACGTTCTAAAACGTTCCTTGTTAAAAAGTTAATTTCCAAAATGTCTCATCAACAACACAATGTAAGCTGTCACCTTTCTCTCCCCCTCCCCCACCCCCTCCCCCACGGGGGATAGCCGTTACTCCAGTGTGGTTTGCTCCTTCTTTCCAATCAAACATCTATCGTCCTTATCTCTCCTCCTCTTTGTAGGTGATTGGCGATTTCTCTAGCTTAGTTACATCCTTCTTTCCCAAATAACATTTTTATTATATAGCCCTTATCTCTCCGTTTTGTGTTTCTTACTATCTAGAAATACCTCTATTCTGCGGAACTTATAATACCCTGTTGTACATGTAATTCCTGTGCTCTAAAAGTCTTTCTAAAACTAAACTTCCTTTCTTTGCATGTTAATCTCTAGTAACACCTCTAGTCTTCAGCACTTATTTGATCTAACTGTGTTGCAAGTGCCGTAAAACTCTTACCAAAAAAAACTATGGTATTCTCGTGTAACACCTCTAGTCTTCGGCAGCTGTATGACCTATACGAATTACAAGTGCCTTAAAACGCTTACTAAAACTAATAGATTCATAAATAAATAAGTAAATAAGTAAATAGATGCATACCTAAATGCATTATATATACACTTACTTCCATCTCTCCAGCCTGTGAGCCCAGACTTCCCGCTCAAAAAGGGAACCCCTATGGCCGGCACACACGGCTATGACAACAAGGAGAGAGACATGAGAGGAATTTTCTACGCCTTAGGACCACGTAAGTAAACAAACGTATCGGAGCCAATAACTACTAGAAGACATCGCCGTCTGGGATAAATGTCAGCCTAATGTGCGCTGATTTTGTATTTTTTCTGCGTTTTTAATAATTTTCAAACTATAGTGGAAAAAATTGATTTAAATTGTTTTAATTTAATTAGATCTAGGCTCCGCACAAAATAGACGCGTGTCCATTGTCCATCGGTGATCGAAATCCTTTTTAATTTAGCTTTAGTAGAGGGTTTTACGGCGCTCGCAACTGCATACAGTCATATGAGCGCCTGAAGATTAGAGGTGTTACAAGAGAGTAACAAACACAACAAAAAGAAGAAGGGGAGATAAGGACGATAGATTTGATAGGAAAGAAGAAGCAAACCACACCAGAGCACCCGTCAACCGCCTACTCGAAATCCTTTTTGGGGAATCTTTGGTTAAAGTTGAGCGCTTACTGTGGTAGATTTACAACAACTTATTTGGAAAGCCTGAAGAGATGGGTGGCGGGGAAAGATCAAATTAAATGCGTCGTAGAGTAGTGGTAGTGGTAGAGTCATGTGCTCGTCAATTTTTGGAATGCGAAATTGTCTGTATAATTTTTCAGTTTTAGTAGGAGTTTTACGGCTCCTGCAATACAATACGGTCATCATATAAATGCTGAAGATTAGAGGTGCTTTAAAATAGTAAGATTGTTGGGGGGGGGGGTTGGTTTAGTGTTTTACGGCGCTTGCAACTGCATAAGGTCATATGAGCGCGCGGGACACACCTAATATTTTCAGTTGGTAGGAAATTTTGAATTTTG